TCTCCAAGAGGAATACAGTGGCATAAATGGGTCAAATCTAGGTGAGGTCAAGCGTAAATGGGTCAAATCTAGGTGAGGTCAAGCAGACCCTATCCAAGCAATCCAAGGTTGGACTTAGACAAAACTCAAACTCGGACAGGTCCGTGTTGATCACGCTCAGACCCAACCAGTAGAGTCGGGTCAGATCCGGATAAAAAATGTAATTGTTTTTTTAAGAGTAATGATCCTATGAGACGCTCCCACACCCATGTGTGTAGGATCCCAAAGGATCACTATTAAATTTGGTACAAATCTCTAGAAAAATCAAGTCTCACACCCATGTGATAACCTTTCTATAGATCTGTGTCAAATTTAATAGTGATCCTTTGGAGTCCTACACATATGAATGTGGGAGGGTCTCATAGGATCATTACTTTTTTTTTTAAATACATTAAATATCATAATACAAAATTAGTATTCAATAGAAAACATCAATTGGGGTACAGTCAGGTCTAGCTCAAATTTGACGATTAGGTCATCAGTCACTCGAGCCCAACGCAACCCAACTCGACCTGAATCTAACACGCAAAGTCCAAAAACTAGAACCATTCCCAGAGTCGAAACCGGACACGATTGACAGCAGTATTTATTTATTAATTTATTTATTTTAGGTATTTCCTTGACAAGCGAGCGTAGCCCGCAAGGTTCAGATCATTAATCATTTTCTAGACACTTATTTGAAATCAACTTTAATTAGTTTAATAATAAAAGTCAAAAAAAATTGAATTTTTCATCCTAGACATGCTAAAAACACCTAGTTAATAGAAATAAATAATTTTCAAATCAGTATTTTACAATCCTTAATTTTCAATTCAATTTTTAAAAAAGTAAATTTAGTAATAAAAACTTGTGATCAAGTCATGATAGTATTTTTAACATTTGGCATTCTCTTTTCTTCACAACCATATGGATGATTTGGGAGGAGCGTAACCAACGTCTGTTTCAAGGGAGAACACACACAGTCGTGAGAAGTTGATGCGAAGGATTGCTTGTCACGTTCGTGATCTGGCATATGATAAGGCGTAGACTTATCATATCTCTAAAATGCAGTTACTAAGAACTTATGTCTTACATGGTGGCAGCAAAGGAGGAAGCCACCCATAACAATGGCATAGGCTTTTCCACAGTCACATTGTTTTTAGTGAAATGTTGATGGGTCTTCTATTCAGAATCTATATCGAGCTGGTTGTGGAGGCCTCATGAGACGGAATGATGGGCTTTTCGGTTCCTCTTGGAATTGCTTCCAATAACTATGCAGAATTTCGAGGCTTATAAGAGGGTGTTGATTTAGCCTTTCAAATGGACTACTTTTCCCTACAAATTGAGAGCGATTCTTCTTTACTTGTCCACGTCATTCAAGACAGGTGTAAAGCTTCTTGGGCTCTTCATACTAGAGCTGCTAACTGTAAACTTAAACTTGAGAATCAATCATAGTCCATTTTCCATGTTTATCATGAGACTAACATGGTGACCGATGTTCTTGTTAAAAAGGCTACAGTTTTTATGGAGGCCACTATTTAGTGCTCCAGGCCCCCCAATTTTCTTAACCTTCCTTTACTTCATGATGTAGTGCAATTACCCTATTGTAGAGTTGTAAAATAGTATGGTGTAATTTTTCTTGTCTTTTATTAATGAAAAATAGGTAGAGGGCTTTCTCCCTCACTGATTTATAAAAAAAAAAAAAGTGATGCAACAAAATAATCACATGCATTCTATCCTAATCATGTACCTTCGCAAAACTCTTTTTTACTAGTATTCAAATATTTAATTTTGAATTTTAATATAAAAATATTAATTTCTATTTTCTATAATTAAAATATTAAGAAACTGTAATAATGTAATAGGGTACATAACAACATTTTATACTATTTTTTTATATTCACGCAATCTTATTTTTTAGGACTATATATGGAGAGATTCCTACTTATCACTTATTTTAGATTGATAGAAATTTTTTGAACAATAAAAGTTTGTAGTAAAAAACTAAAAAGTTAATTTGAGATTCTATTTTCATCATAAACATGTAAAGAAACATTATTTAATTCGAAACTATGTATTCTGTAACAATTAGTTTTTTATCACTTAGGTTTACATTATTCAAATAATTAAATTATAAAACTTGAAATCGATTCCATTAAGAAAACTAAAAAAATGTCACAATCTTTTTATTTAAAAAATATTAAATAATTTTTAAAATTAATCATAATATTGGTACTGCGTAGAAACCTTGCTTACTAGGACCCTGAGATTCCTACCTTTAAGGGGGACTATATAATGCAAATTTAGCAACTAAAATTATCATTATTTTAATGATTGTTATCAAATCCAGCAATTATTTCATGATGATGACATACATACATTTTTAATTATTTAATATATAACTTAGAGGGAAAGGAATTCTCGGTTACATGGTAGACGAAATATGCCAAAGAATCCCCTTTAAGGTGCATTCTTCATTGGTTTAGATCGTTGGCCAAAATTTAAAATTCAGCTTTCCATCTATCCAAATTCAGTATAGCATCCAACCTTAACCTACATTGGAATTTGGTTCCTCCCCAAGTTCATGTTCAGGTAGCGTGTTACCTCCTCTTTTAGGAATTTTCAAGCTTAACATTGATGGGGGCATCTAGGCAAAATCCGGATAGTGCTGGTTGTGGGAGTGTTATCAGGAATGATGTACCGTTGGGAACTAATTCAAATAATGCAGCTGAATTCCATACACTTCAGAGGAGTATTGCATCGGCAATAGAGCTGAATTGTATACCTATTTTCATTGAGAGTGACTCTAAACTTCTTATTGATTCTATGTGTCAGTGTTGCAAGCCTCCTTGGAGATTGCGGCTAACATCGATTAATAGTATATCTAAACTTGCAGCTTTTGTCAATCAGCAATGGAAGGTTCAACAAGTTTTATAAGGAGGCTACTATGGCTGCGGACTCTTTAACCAAAGTAGCGATTTCTTTGAATGAAGCTATTGTGAGATGTGTGTACCCCTCTAATTTTGTAATACCTTTTATTTTATTTGATATTGATAGTGTTCCCTTGCCAAGGGTTGCATAAGAGTTGTTCATGTTATACCCCTTTAGATTCTTCAATAAAACGGGTAGGGCCCATATCCCATTGATTCATCAAAAAAAAAAAATATCAGTTATAAATTTTATTGCTCTGTGCCCCGCGTACATTGTACACTATTTTTTACTTAACAAAATGAGTCTCATCTTATAAAATTCCTGCATTTTCCCCAAGGACTTTCCATTGTATTCTTCCATATAATTCTTGATAATTTTCCATTATATTCTTTCACATGCATCTTGGGGGCACGTACTGTCATTAGGATTTAGCATTTAGCATTAAAATTACATCACATCCCAGGTTCGAATCCCATTGCTGACCTACTATGGAAATGGAACGTTGGGTAAAAATTTCTCATGCGGTTAACTGTGAAAATATTTTCATACCAATACATCTTGGTACATCTTTTCATCCCAATTGACAACTAATCGATGTAAAAATATTCCCAAAATAGTATTTCTATTCCCAAACCTAAAGTTTTGCAGATCAAACCAACATATAAACCTACATCTTAAAAATCTCCCCTTATCTATCTAAATATAAGTCCATATCATGTTATATATCTATAACGCCTTATATATGATAAAGGTTTTTTCATAACCTCAAGAAATTATCACTGCAATGATATATATCTACTACATTATCTAAATATAAGTCTATGTAATGTTATGTCTATAGTATCTTATATATCATGAAAAGTATATCATAACCTCCAGAAATTAGCACTACAATTGCATATATCTAGAGTTGTATATCAGGAAAGTATCAAAATAATGCGATGACAACTTAATAAATTGATCAATGACTTTTCTTAATGACTACGTGCTTCAATCAAGTTGTCGAATGACTTGGAATCGATGAATTAATTAATTGAGTTTTCTTTTAGATAATTCTTTGTGCTTTCAATTCTCATGCTTACCAAAGCAGGGTAATCCCATTGATGTTCGCTGTAAAAAGTTGGCTCAAGCGGTATATTGATCGGTTTGTGCATGTTACCTAGCTATTATGGCTTCAAACTGAGCTGATACATTGAAAAAGAATTATACAGAATATTATGTAATCCTTTGCCAACGTTTTTTAGTATTTAGGTAAACTTAATGCGTGCATAATTATATGTGTTTGGCTCATTATGTTCATTTTTTAACAAGAGATTAAACAAATTTAAAAATATTCATAATTGCAATATTTTTCAGTATTTACGTAAATTTAATGCGTGCATAATTATGTGTTTGGCTCATTATGTTAATTTTTTAATAAAATATTACAAAATTAAAAATATTATAATATTGGATATGCATGGGAACCTTGTTTATTAGAGCCCTATAAAGATATACTCCTATTTTTATGGGGACTATATAATGCAAATCACCAGACACGTTTGGTACCAAGTAAATTTAGTTATATTGGGACTCCCTCTCAGAGGTTAAGTGATGCTTTTTTATAATTATTTTAATGATTATCAAATCTATTAAATTGAAACATAATTATTTCATGATGATGATAGACATACATTCTTGGTAATTGAGTATAAGATATAAAGTTGATTGTTTCCTATGCATAGCTCTTGATTGAGTATATGAATTATTAACTCTTGATTTAGTTATAATTTTCTGTAACCACATACTTATTTGTGATTGAAAGTTGGAGGAGTTAATGAACAAGTAACAAGTTACCTTTGTAAAAAAGAAATGAAGAAGTAAAAAGTACCTTTGTAAAAAAAAAATTTCAAAAAACAAAATCCAAAAAAAAAAGAAAAAAGAAAGAAAGAGCAACAACTGGCCCTTCCAACCTATTCCAATGTCACCTGGAATATGGATATCTAGTTTTAAATTTTAAGAGAAGTTATCTTACCTCTTAAAAAGCAACTTAGATTTTTTTTCTCTTGAGAAGCCCAAAAAGATATGAATTCCCATATATAAGACATCCAAAACAAGTGCAGTTATCAGATTGCACTATCGGTTACAAGCTTTAAGAGAAGATGCAAGGTGCTCTCATTAGTCAGCAAACCCCATCATAGGCAGTTCCCAGCTACAATCATCATTCACTTGATTCTTCCTCATTATCCACATCACTATGCCTTCCATCACCAAGAGGTGGAGAAGTTTTGTGTTTTAAATCATTGTCGAGCTTGTGCTTGAGAAATTTTACTTGAGATTTTCCACCTCTTTTCTTCTCTTCTTTCCTTTTTCTCTTCTGATCATTTGGTGTGAACTTCATAGACCGGGCAGCGATAGAAAATGCATTATCCATATCGTCACCATGATCATCAATATCTACCTTGCCCTTCTTATCAATGTAAAAGGGGTCATCACCCACCTCTTCCTTTTGTCCCTTCTTTTCAATGTAAAACAGATCATCAGATTTGTCAAAGTTATGCTTGCTCACCTTGTGGAAAAGAACCTGCGTAAAATCTTCATCTACAAACTTAATTCCAAGTTCTCTTATCTTCTCCTGGAATTTTCTTAATCCTTCATCATCGAGTTTGAGTAGACATTCTAACAAAGGCAGAAGTCAAATGCAGAAACAGTGAATATGAGAGAAATGCCAATGGCGTCTAAATAAATAAATACCAGTAGTCAAAGATTTACACAACTGTCAATAGCATTCGGTATCACATGATCCAAAGCTCAATTTCCTTTTGAAATACTATGAAACCACCAACAGTTTCAGATACTATGAAAGCCAAAGTAGAATTTCTTAACATAACAAGCCCATCTGCCTCCTCCCTCCCTCCCTCTCTGAATTTCTCAGAGAAATATGAATTTCAGTTAGTGTGCAGTTTTGGGGTTGAGACTGAATTTCTCAGAGGAATTGGAATTTCAGGTAGGGTGCAGTTTTGGGATTGTGACTGAATTTCTCAGAGCAATTGGAATTTCAGGTAAGGTGCAGTTTCAGGGTTGTGAATTGTCCAACAAGTACTTTAGGCCTGGTCAAGTTAAAGGGAGCAGAAATCTCTAAAGATAAGACAACGATCAGGAAATTGGTAGCAGATTTGTCGAGCTCACAAATTTTCTCAAAAAGTTTAATCATATTTTCTGAAGCTGACAGCTTCGGCACGTATTTCAACAAGTAAAGCAGAAAAAACTATTTCAAAGCAGAGATAGATGACTCACTGAGAAATACTTGTGGGGTTGCATCCCTTGAGTTACGTAGCTTCTCTTTACTGGTCTGAGAGGAGACACAGTTCACCAAAATTGAAGGCACACATGATCTCGAGAATGCTTCTATATGAGCAATAGCTTTCATTTGATTTCCTTTCATACTGTGCCCAAGCAACAATTTGTAAATAAGAAAAAGTGGGACCCCATCTAGTGACAAACATTATACTTGGAAGCTAATTACTGAGCTTAATAGGCTGGACTCTCTCTCTCTCTCTCTCTCAATATGTATATGTGGGTGTATAATATGGGACCCCATAAAATAATACTGTTGACCTTCATACAAAAAGTTAAAAAACACCCCAAGATGTCAGATATAAAATCTGACAGACTGGGATCATTTCTCTATGGAAAGTCCAAAGTAAATTTCCCAGAGTTCAGTCCAATGATACACCCCCAGCAGTCAGATTTCACACCTGGCTATTGGGGGCATTTTTACCTTTCTATATGAAAGTTAAATGAACTCACTGAAAACTCCCCTTACACCCACGTGCACACCCACACCGCGCACGCATGCACCCATGCGCACGCGCACACACACAGCGACCCCAATTTACATGTAAGTAAAACTTAGTTGTGTGTGTATGTGTGTGTGTTTGAGAGAGAGAGAGAGAGAGAGCGTTTGTGTGTATATTGTATTATTGTATAACGATGCATCAAATCATATCCAACACCCATGTCGTGTCCAACAATGAAAACTACGGACTGTCCATATTCTATAGGGTGGACCACATTGCAGGGAGTCAGTCATAGATTTAAATGAGTACACAATGATTAGTGTATGTTTCACCCATTTGTTTGAAACTAAATTTTGATTGTTGATGACTAAAGCACTTAACATCAAATCATCAGATGATCATCCCATCAAAACACCTCTATTCTTCACTTACCTATAAACCTGTACAGCTTGATGGGCAACAACTACTCTCAACAGAGCAAGACTTTCTAGATGAGCATTAGATTGCTTATCTTCAGTGACGGACTTCATAAAAGAGTAATCTACAAGCAACACAGCATCATATAGTACTTCGCGCAACAGGTCCTCATTGACGGAACCCTGCAATCAGATATATTTCTGCGTGAGAGTATGGGAGATATCTAGAAGAGGACATGGTCATGAGGTTAGCACCATAGATCAGTAGCCTGGAAAAGTAAACTCTCTTTCTCATCCCAACACTTGGAACTCTAGTTTGTATAGAGAGAGAAAGAGAGAGAGAGAGTAATTTGTGGATGTTTAGAACCACATGTATAAGTAGGGGAGAAGGGAAGCTTACCAACAGGGAGGTGACAGGTAGAGCTGGCTCCAACAACAGTCGCATAAGTATCACTGGCGAGCATTAGCGAGGGGAAAACGTTAGCGCCAGAAGACTTGAAAAGCGTGAGCAAGACAGCAAAGATTTTATATTAAAGAACATGTCAAATTCAGAATGAAAACTCAGAGAAATAAATGTTACAAGAAGCAGCTGATTCAATTCTAGCAGAACTCTGTTCGAACCATAATTGATTAACATTCAAACTACAACAGTTCGCTTTGAGCACTTTGAACTAGGATTTGGAAAGTAGTAATGCCATTTTTCCATGTACACTGTCAGTCATCATTAAATCAGGATGATCATTTTTTGGTGGACCCCATCATATTTAGAGTAGCGAAAGGTGTAAGGGTTTTGTGAGAATGCTGTGATTACTGCAAACCTGCGCCTGGATGAATCTCCATTTTTAAGCCCCAACTAACTGTCTACCGATAATGGTCCTCAAGAAAGGTAGGATTCAGGTGATTCCAGGGACACACCTACTGCAAAGTGCCCACTCGTCCAAAATCCATCTTGGAGATAGATTTTAAATTTAAAACTTCAGTCAATCTCGACCACTAAAGTAATGAGTCTGAGAAAAAAATTGAATTTTGAGCCTTGAAATTGGTCCATCCTGCCCTTTTTCGTATTTGGACCGATCATTTCAATTCATCAAAAATCATCATATCTTCATTGTCTTTGAAGCTCCAAGTTCATGGATCCAATGCCGAAATAGATTTGTAATGGTCAAGGGTGTGTTTCGATCCCTGAAAACTTTGAAAACCAAGGTAGATGCATGAACTCAACAAAAACATTTCCATTCAAGATATAGACCAGAAACACTTTGCATGCAGCACAAATCATAGTTCAGGGAAGCGTGTGGGTATGGTGACGATCCCACCTTGAAACCTCGATCCCACAGTTCCTGTAAGGGATCTTGTAGGGACCCCAAATTTTCAAATTTGTGACCTCGCCAAAAAAAGGGACCACGTTCCATCCAACAGTGGAATCCAATTCCATTTCAAAATATATCCATGCTCCCATCAGCCATGGTCTAAGGTTTTGGTACATTAAAATCTTCCATGTTTGTCGAAACTACTTTCATTAACAAATGATACCATGTTAGCGATGGCCATTGTCCCAAGTTCTCATTATTTAGGAATCACAAGTTCCATGATGGTAGAATCCAGACCCTTGTTTCGCATAGCACAAAGTTCCATTATTTTAGATTCTTAAGTTCCATTATTTTAGATTCTTAGTTTGAACTTTGAAGGTTTAGTCTAGACCCAATGTTTTATGAAGTCCTATTGTTTTAGATTCTTAAATTTTCATAGGATCCATAGAGATTCTTTGATGTTTTCTTCTATTTCACAAGAGTAAGTCATCCCTCTTAGTTGTGAGAATATATATTTCATTGGAAATCTTATATTTATTATGTCCCATTGTTTTAGATTCTTAAATCATAAATGTCATATGGTGTTAGATTCTTAAATCACAATGATGAATCCATAAAGATTCTTTGATGTTTGCTTCTATTTCGAGCAAGCCACCCTCCTAATTGTGAGAATATATATCCTAGTTGTGAGAATATATATCCGAGTTGTGAGAATATATATATTTCATCTTCAGTAGCTTTCATTTCAAGCTATAAATCTAGAAGAAGCTTCTTGATTTACATAAGAGAGAGAGAGAGATTAGTTTAGCTTGTCCTCTTGCACCTTCAAAGAGCCAGCCTTTGAGAAACAATTGAAGCGGAGGAGCCTACATTCAAAGAAGATGGCCCTTGAGTAGCAAGACTCTAGGTTGTCTCGGACTGAGAGGGAATGGTGAAGCCAAACTTGTGTCATGGCCTGAAGATGTAGTGGGAGGGACAGGCCTTGGTAATGGAACACTATGACGAACCTCATCATCAGCATCAAGGCGGTCGCCCAATCCTTCTAATAGTCCAACATCATCCTTGAGGTGGTCATCATCAATATGAAATCCCATCCTTTGTATTTTCCATAGTCTAATTGCAATCTACGTAACAACCTGTCATTGTAGTGAACATAAACCAATGACTCGGAGCATTAAGCATTTAACCTGATCCGCTTAACATTGTGAACATAACTATACATACTCCAACACTTCTCAACACATGACGAGTAGACACTCTGAAACAACACCTCAATAGCTAGTGAATATAATTCAGGAACCCCACCACCATATAGATCCCACCACGAAAAAGCTGACATTGTTCCTATGTCAGAAATGAATGCCGGGACTGAGAAAACTTCTTTATTACTTACAAAATCGTTGATGTACAACCTCTCAAGCGCAACAAGATAAGACACTTGTATTTCTTTATCATGGTATGGCTTTAGCCTCTTCTCCCCAACAAGAGTTGGCATAGTTAACCCTTCCCGAGAGTGATATTTAGGACGTAAAACATAGGCCAAACAATGTAATAGAAGATTGATCCGATCCCATCGATCAACGACTAACTTATGTAATTTTTGATATAAAATAGGTTCATCATAGAGGGCCATTGCAAGTTCGCCCAGCATCGTGTCCATGTGCTCAACATAAAGCATCGTCTACATGAGCTCAATAAAAGGGTGTATAAGGGACTTGAAATAATAGGAGTAGAGATGAGGAAGTAGTTAAGATTGTCGTCTAGGAAGTACAAAAAAGACCACACTTTCGATATCTTCGGTCGATAATCCAAAAAAATGAAAAGATTGAAAAAGATGTGGCACATAGAATTAGAGCTGAGTGGGCGAAGTGGAGATGTGCAACTGGAATTTTATGTGATCGCCGCTTACCAATGAAGCTGAAGGGTAGGTTTTATAGGACAGCTGTGAGACCAGCTTTGATTTATGGGGCAGAATGTTGGGTGGACAAAAAATAATATACCTATAAAATGAGTGTAGCGGAGATGAGGATGTTGAGATGGATGAGTGGCAAGACAATAAGGGATAGAATCCAAAATGAATACATTCGAGAAAGTTTAGCCGTGACATCAATAGGCGATATGATGAGAGAGAGTAAACTTAGGTGGGCTGACCATATGTGACATCGACCTAGTACAACACCTATTAGGAGGTGCGAATTAGTTCAGATGGAAGGATTGAAAAGGGTAAAAGGTAGGCCCAAGAAGACATGGTTGGAAGTAGTCCCAAAAGATATGAGGACTTATAGCCTCACTAAGGATTATGACCTTAAATAGAGCAGAATGACGGATCAAGATTCGTGTAGCTGACCCCAATTAATTAAGATAAGGCCATGATGATGATGATGATGATGATAAGGGACTTGAAATGAAAAATTTTAAATTGTAATCACTTACAACACCATTTTGTACACCCAACAGAAATCTCCGAGAAAATTATAAGTCACTCTCACCAATCACAGCCTTTATTTATCAGTCCCTTTTGGGGTTGATCCAATGGTTTAAAAAACGGATCGGTGACCCGGATCGGGCACCCAAAAAACCGATCCGGATCGG